ATGCTAACATTACGCGTGATGCTAACATTACGCGTGATGCTAACATTACGCGTGATGTTAGCATTATATTGCATCATTGCATCACAGCATTGCATCACGCCGCGTACTGTTTCGCGTAATGGGTGTTAGTAGCGACACCTGGCAGCAGCGCTACGTGACAGTACGGCACGGATAGCAATGTCCCATCAAGTAGTAAGTCGAAAATTTGCTAGGTGGCGCTATTAATATCGATATATACCCAAGTTCACCTCGTATGTGTAATAAAAAAACGATACATTACGAAATAATTCCTATATGCATCATAATAATTGTTAATTTAACTTGAATGATGGCGAGTGCGTGTGAGACTGAGATAATGTTATATATCTCGGATAATTTTCCGAGAGGTAATGGAGACGGGGCAGTCGGGGCCAAAATTTAATAAGTTGAGGTATGGTTTTAAAAAAAGGGTTGTATATCTAAAAGCCACCTATAAGAAAAATGAGATTTAAGATGATCTCACACAGTGACAAATCCTCCACCAACCACACCATCACCAACTCTTGTTGGCTCCATCGTTTTCGTTCAGTAACTTCAACATACGTACTGTCGTCTCCTTAGTCTGCGCTTCAACTTTTGAGTTTTGTTTTGACACTTGGCGGAAATCAAAGTCAACGTCAAATGTGGGAAAATTAGAGGAAAAATATTGCAAACATTTCCGGTAATCATTTATTTTTCTGAAAAATACATATGATTTTTTTAATGGAAATTTTTCCATGACCCAACACTGAGTGAGATTAACTGAGAACCCCGGAAAGATTTACAATTTACATTCATACTTTATTGTAACAAGAAAACACGTGATTTTTTTTGGTTAGCATGGCTGTTGGCTGAGATCGCCAAATTTCGTAGAAGTTCCAGTGATGATATAACAATACATAAGCTATTTATTATTATCACCTTCAACTTTTACATCTTGACCCAAGATTGTATAAAAGCGTATCGATCTCCTTCTAGAAATATTGTAATATTATATTTAATCAAGCATTGATTAACAAATTATGAAATTTCAGTTTAAATTGTCTGTCTACGGTTTATTTCAATTACACCATCCACCAACCCACACCAACCACCATAGTAAGTTATTAAATAATTTGGGTGCTAATACAAACATCGTTCTACTACAACATTCCAAATTAGATGCATTAACATTGCATTACGCATAATATTACTATTACACGAGATGTCTCATAAACAAACATCATTCCGTGATGTTACCGTTACAACGTCACTCGCATTACTTAGACTATAAACATCACTCCGTAATACCACCATCACGCGTACTGTTTCAGGTAATACATTATGCGAGTACTGTTTCCGAGCGATGCACTGTGATTCCCCCATAGGCCATAAATCAAAAAAAATCATTGGCTTATCCCGGTTAGATCAACTCACTAAGTTAGTAACTAGTTAACAAGCTTCCAAAAACTATAAATATCAATGTAATTAGGTCACGTTATCATTCACTTTTGTGCATCGGAAGTGAGCGCATCGCGAGACTAATTATCACCACGTGTGAGTCATCGAAACTTAATCACTTTGTTTTTGAGTGTCACTATTCCAAATCAAGTGTTTACGTGTTGTGAAAGCATGGAGATCCAAGAGCATGGTATGTACTTTTATTATCAATTTTTTTTAATTTTTTTTATGCATATTTTTTTTTATATAATTTTTTTATTGAAGGCAGTTTTTTGGTGAAAATTTTTGGCATAACTTAATTTCCTTTAGACCTACAACTTTTGGCTGCGCTGAGCTGCACCTGAGGTATATGGTTTTTGAATAAGGAGTATGTCCTTATTAAGAGCTATAAGTTTCATTTGCATCTTGCTGCCTCTTCTTGGCTTAAAGGGGTGTCAAAGTATGCATGTCCATAGTATTGAATTTTTAATTTTTTTTTAAGTTCAGCTTTCATATTGTTTTAGGTACATTTTTCAAATGTTCTGTATCGAGGATGACAATTTTTGATATTTGGCACTCTAAAGTGGGTAATCCAAATGAAAAAATGCAACACGTCCTGAGCACTTTGACCGAAACATCATCCCTTTCTGACGACATCGAAAATATTGATTTAGAGACTTTAAGCCTTAAAATTAAGAATATTTGTAAACGAATTTCCCACTACTGGGCAAAGTCGAATCGTACTAGATCTAAATTCTTAGAAAAATATTCAGATTGGCTGCATGTCGTTGAAAATATTGATGTACAGCGAACTGAGTTACGTGTATCTCAGAGCTTTGACGAAGTTAAACCATCAACTTCTTCATCGCATGGCCGTCCGAGAATTAACTTTGACGACACCAGTAAACGTACAAAAAGGAGAAGATTGGCTAGTTTGTCTAACCAAGACCCTTCTCTTGTACAGTCATTGCTCAATGCGTCCGACAGCTTGTCTTGTCCTGAAATCGATTCTAGCGAAGTTTTATCGCTCATTGTTGAAGCTCAGTTAACTCGACATCAATATATATTAGTAAAGAAATTTATAGACAATAAGTTTTCAAAAACCATTTTCCCATCTTACCAAAGTGTCGTGGAATCTAAAAAACACTGTTATCCTTCAGATATTACTGTTACAGAATCATCCGCCGAAGTCGAACTTCAAAGTTTATTAGATCATACTGCCAATCGGATTCTCAAGTCTCAAAAAGATGTTTTGGATAGTGTACCTAATGAGTCTCTAGATAAGATATCTTTGATAGGGAAATGGGGTTTCGATGGCAGTACAGGGCATTCAGAATATAAACAGTGTTTTTCTGACTCCACTCTTGAAGACAGTAGCCTGTTTGTTACTTCGTATGTGCCACTTCAGCTTGTTTTGACAACAGATAACAAAGAAAATTCAGTAGTTTTGTGGAAAAATCCTCGTCCTTCATCAACTCGATACTGTCGTCCTATACGCCTCCGATATTTGAAGGAATCGACTGCAGTGTCAGTTGAGGAAGAAGCTCATTTTAAAGATAAAATAAGGAACTTGCAGCCTACTGTTTTCAAGGAAGAAGATCGCGAATATCGCATTACTCATTGTTTGCAACTTACTATGGTAGATGGTAAAGTGTGTAATGCACTTAGTGGTGTTTCTTCATCAAAATGTTTTATTTGTAACGCCTTGCCCAGTGAAATGAACAAAATTGACGAATGTTTAAATAAGGAAGTCGATGAGAGTAAATATGAATTTGGTTTATCACCTCTTCACGCGTTAATACGTTTTTTTGAATATTTTGTTCATGTCGCGTACAAGTTAGATGTTAGGAAATGGCAAGCTAGGTCCGCTAATGACAAAATGCTTGTTGCTGCAAAAAAATCATATGTTCAGACTCAATTTAGAGAAAGATTAGGGCTTATAGTGGATAAGCCTAAAAGTGGCGGAAGCGGAACATCAAACGATGGTAATACAGCCAGGCGGTTTTTCTCGAATTCAGAAATTTCCGCTGAAATTACTGGGATCAAGAAGGATCTCCTAGATCGTTGCTGGATCATCCTTCAATGTTTAAATTCGGGATATAATATTAATAAGACGAACTTCGAAGAGTTCGCTTTAGAGACGGCTCGGCAGTTAGTTGCCGAGTATCCGTGGTATAACATGCCTGCTTCCGTTCACAAAGTTCTAATTCATGGTGCTAATGTTATAGATTACGGTTTGTTGTCAATCGGAGAGTTGTCTGAAGAAGCAGCTGAAGCGACTAACAAATACATCAAGTCTTTTAGAAAAAATCATACGCGTAAAATGAGTCGCATTGTGACCAACACAGATTTAGTAAATAGGCTGCTTCTTCATTCAGATCCCTTCATAACAGGTCTACGAAAGTTACCTGTTAAAAAAAAAGGTGTACTGTCAAAAGCTGTATTAGACTTGTTATGTATTTAAAGTTAATATTGTTGAGATTTAATGTATTTTGGTATAATTTGTGTTTTGTTTGTATTTTGTAAAATGAACTTTTTTATGTATTTTTATTGTTTTAATTTATTCATTTGTGGTTATTGTTAATACAAATAATCATTATTTACACAGTTTTACCATTAAAAGTCGCAGTATAAAATGTTTTAGATACATCGTCTAAAAACAAAATTACTGCGAGACATTTTTACACCTAAATATTGTCAAATATTTTTTAAAATGTATAATTTTATTAATTTACGTTTACCTAATCATATTTTAACGTAAAAAAATAAAAAAATAATAATAATTTCGGAGTTACGTATTTATGACCGCCTTAGTATGGAGCGTGAATCACCGTGCGATGCATCACGCGGGTAATGTGTGATGCTAACATCACGTGTAATGCTAACATCACGCGTAATGCTAACATCACGCGTAATGAGAACATCACGCGTGATGTTAGCATTACATTGCATCATTGCATCACAGTATTGCATCACGCCGAGTACTGTTTTGCGTAATGGGTGTTAGTAGCGACACCTGGCAGCAGCGCTACGTAACCTTACGGCACGGTTAGCAATGTCCGATCAAGTAGTACGTCGAAAATTTGCTGGGTGGCGCTATTAATATAGATATTTACTATATTTAGTTCATATTGGGAAACTCCCAGAGCGCCCCGACATGGTCTATGTAATGGGTAGTGTTATGAGTAATGCATATTTTTCCAAAGTGATGCGTGATATCATAGTACCCAGTCGCGTGATATCACCTTTGTAATATGACTCACATTACTTACACAATATGTCTAGCTTTCACGCTAGTGACACAACTGTTGGGTCCATAACCCTGTAATTTACGCTTTTTGATATTATAAAACATAAACCTTCAATCACTTTTTTTTTCCAAATCAAAATCGGACATTTCTAATAACAAATAAATATTTTGTTGAAACTAGAGTGGCTTTGTGACTTGAAGTAAATTAATTTGCTCTTGGATTAAATATTTATGTATTATAACTAAAATACACTTTTGAGATGAATGAATGAATGAATGAAGTTAATTTATTTCTCAATCACAAAACAGGCTTAAGAGTAAGGAACTTAAAATACAAGACCAAAAATTGGTCAGACTGTTTTGTGAGAGACTGGTGCCCGAGATAGGTATAGAAAAACCTGAATTACGGGTAAATGTTTGGTAAATTATGGGTAAACGGGTGAGATGTTTTTTTACTATAGGAGAGGATCGTTTTGTTGGATTTAATAAATTTGTCTTCATAAAAAGAATTTTGTCTTTTTCTAAGTAATCTGTTTTTTACATTCTAGATGTGCGCAAACGCACAGTACACTTAATACAAGTTAAGCGCATCTGTGTCTATCGGTAACAATAAGAAAATGACTACGAGGGTCAAACTGACTTATAAACAATATAATAAAAAAATAATTCTTAAATTTGAAAATAGAACTCTGCCAATATTACTGAGTATATATTTCATTCATTTGTCATTTGTTTTACGATTTGGCGGCAAATTGAAAATTGTCTGTGTCACGTCAACATGAATTTAACACGAGAAAATTTTCGTGCAATGATTTTTTATGACTTTCGATGTCATTTAAGTCAACAAGAAAGTTATGATAGACTACGATTGGCCTTTCACGATGAAGCCCCATCTCGTGCGACTGTTTACAACTGGTTTAATGAGTTTAAACGTGGTCGCACTAATCTCACTGATGATTTACGTGAGAGACGGCCTTCTACGGCGACGACTGAAGATAACATCTGTGTTGTACGGCGTATGATAGAGACTGACAAAAGAGTGACCTATCAGCAGATTCGGACAAGCTTAGGCATCGTTATGAGTCAAGTGCACAAAATCCTCCACGAACATTTAGCGGTCAGGAAGCTTTGCGCCCGGTGGATACCTCATAATTTGACTGAGGCTCAAAAACTCCATCGTGTGGATTGGTGCCGTAAAATGATTGAAAGATTTAACGGAGGTGACTCAAATGCTGTGTTCGACATACTAGCAGGTGACGAAAGCTGGATTTACTGTTATGATCCTGAAACCAAAAGACAATCTGCTCAGTGGGTGTTTCCTTTCGAGGAGTTGCCAACTAAAGTGAAGAGAGATCGAAGTGCGGGAAAAAAAATGGTGGAACGTCCAAAGAACGAGTTTGGAAGGATAGGTCATTTCGCAACAATTATGTTAGAGGATCAAAAAACAGTTTCTGCAGAATGGTACACTACCAATTGTTTGCCACTTGTCTTCGAGAGAAACGACCTCGCAGTAGGATCCTCCTTCACCACGACAACGCCTCGTCGCACACCGCCAAGCGAACGATCGACTATTTGGCGACATCAAACGTTGAATTATTGGGTCACCCGCCGTATAGCCCCGACCTCGCGCCTTGTGATTTTTATTTATTTTCAAAAATTAAAGAAAAACTTAAAGGAAACCGGTTTATGAATGCTGAAGAAGCGGTGGCTGCGTATCGCGATGCCATTGAAGAGACCCCTAAGGACGAGTGGGCAAAGTGCTTTTTCCAGTGGTTCCATCGCATGCAGCGGTGTATTGACGTGAATGGACAATATTTTGAAAAGATATAATAAAACTAATAACTGGCTAATGTAATCAGTTTTTAATTTTCTAAGAACTTTCAGTTTGACCCTCGTACAACTTGAATTTTTTACTCTAGATTACTCGTGCTACAGATGCCTGTTGTTTAAAAGTTATATCAAAATCAGCTTTAAACTAAAAGTCTAGCCTTTTCTTACTGTTAACCTAGAGACAGATGAACTGATTACAAATTACGTTTATTTTGCAATGTAAACTATTACAACATTAATACAGGTAAATAGCACTTATAGTATACTTACTGACCTATTATACTCTGAGATGAAATCCAAGTTCAAAAATGTAAACAAACAACTGTCAAAGTCATGTCTTACATATAGACCACAAACCCTTTTTCGGTTGTACTCTTTATCTTACGAGTAATCATTATAATGGAAAAATACCTTTTTAGGTCAAACAACTTACAGAACTTTTTGAAATCGTTTTGTGAAATATTTTCAATTGGGAAGTTATTACAAAATGAGAAGGGCCATGGGGCCATGGGGCCCATTAAAAATTACCCCAGTTACAACGCAAAAGAAACATATCCCAAATTTTTTTAGATTAGGAACATAAATTCTATATAAATTATTGTCTAATTTTTAAGTTTTTATTGAAAGACACGATGTTTTGCTACCATGATATTTAATTATTTTTTTGTGAAATTGCTCCACTAACAAACTAAAAAACTCTATATATATCTCGTTTTGTTTTAGGTATCAGTGGCTAACACAGCATTGACTTAAATTGTTACTCTATCAAAATAGAGTTAAATAACGTAGTTTTATGTATAAACCTAATGGCAATCAGTTTCTTCTTCGCTATTATTAAAAAAATATTGTAAGGAAGTATAAAGTTCGCAACAACACGACGCCGACGCATAGACAGTAAGGAGCACATTACAAAAATGCTAGTACTATCATATTTTATTATTATTTAACTATTTTTTATTTAATTATTTGTACTCAGGTTACAAAGACCTATAAATACATACCTTAAAGACTAACATGCATAACAATACAATAAAAGACCACTAATTATTATTTACACGTATTGTCTGCACGTGTGACGCAACGTGGGTGTCCACCCAGCCGGCCTCGAAAACGTCGGCAGATGACACCTTTCGGCCAAAATTCATCCTTCATGAAGGTCGACAGATATTGAGTTGGTACTCCCTACACTAATGAATTAAAATTTACATTGTCTCAGGGTAGCATTGGCTTTCACCCGTATATACTCCACAATATCGGCAGACTTTGGAGTAATGAAGCCGTGACACGTATAACAACGTCGTCGTTATCGCTAGACGCAGTAAATGATTGGGGCCTCGTCGACTTCTTTTTCTTTTCCACCTTTTTGAAACCGGCCTCGTTGCGCTGGTCAACTCTTCTCGGTGGTACTGACGACACAGCTCCAGAGATGAGTATCCGTTTCTTTTTCATTTTCTTCCCCGGATTGTGGTTGTGGAGCACTGGATCAGTTAGCAGCGGCAACAGCAGCGTATTCACGTTGAGGGGACGACGTGCTTACGCGTGACGTCACCGTCGGGGCGGTAGAACGACGGCGGCGTATGAGCTGACTCAAAACTAACTACAGATGCGTTTTGCGCCCCGCGACAAGTATTCACGTTACAGGCCTCGGGAGACCTATTTACCGAAGCCGCACTACTTTGTAACGCAACTTGGGCACGCAACTCACTGATGGTATTGTCCGAGGCTTCCAATTTACAGTGAACATCTGCAACGCTCGCTTTTAGGAACGTGACGTCCTTCCAGCGGCAACAGCAGCCTGGTGACGTCGACGTGGTCGAACGTAACAGGGAGCAGCTTGTGCAGCTCTATCAGCACGAAAGCAGGCACGTCGTCTGGGTAGGTCTCCTTTAACAACGTGATGATGTGTCCTGGAGACTCTTCGGTCCTCCATCCCTCCGGTGAGATCGCCATCTGCTCGGCCTTACAAAGCGTCCTCTTCCTTGAAATTTGATTTGCAGACTTGCACGATGCTGACCTCGTCCTTAGTGTTGATGGCGTGTTGGATTAACACCAGCAGTTCATTGGCTATGAGTAGCTGGGAACTCATAGTCAATTACGCGCAGCAGCGCAGAAAATCGTTGACCGCGTAATTGGTTCTTAATTTTTGTAAATAAATAGAAGTCACAAGGTGCCAGGTCGAGACTGTACGCGGGATAACTCATAAGGTCAACGTTGTTCAACTTCAAAAATTCATTAGTCTGTCTGGCCGTGTGAGAACTGGCATTATCGTGGTGCAAGATGATGAACTTCACCATTTGAAGCTTCCAGCAAACAAATGGTCGTGTACCATTCACTATTCACGGTACAACGTTATTAAAAAAAAGAAGCAATCATACGCTTAGAGGCACTTTGCACGCGCGCCACTTTGTTTGGTTTCGGCTCATCTCGAAAGACCCATACGCTCGATTGCTGCTTTGTTTTGGGATCGTAACTACAAATCCATGTTTCGTCACCTGTTACAATGTCTCACACCAAATTTGACGCCCCTTCGTTGAATCTGGTAAGCATGGCATTGCACCAAGTGACGCGATCCGTTTTTTGAGCCTCAGTTAAATTGTGTGGGATCCACCGAGAGCACAGCTTTGACAAACCCAAGTGTTTGTGTAGTATTGATTGTATTTGAGTAATGCCTATGACTAAAGATGACCGAATCTCATGGTATGTCACATGCCTGTCTGTTTTGATCATACGGCGCACAGCATCGATGTTTTTGTTGTTCACAGCAGTGGACGGGCTACTTTCACGAAATTCGTCACTGAGATTCACACGACCGCGTTTGAATTCTGCAAACCAGTATATAGACTATAAATAGTCGTCTTGCATTATGCTTCATCGCTAAAAGCAGTTTGAAGACGAGGGAAGCTCCGCTGAGCTGTTAAATTACACTTAAAGTCGTAGAAAATTATACTACGAAAATTTTCACAAGTTAAATCGACGTTGATGTAGACAACCAATTTCTAAAATGACGCCACAATGTAAAAACAAGTGACAGTCAGATGAAACAAACTGTATTCTACAGCCAAAGAGTTCTATTTTCAAAAGTTGTAATTACTTTTTAAATATTGTTTATGTAAGTGGCCAATTACGGAAACTTATAGTGCGCCCTATGTATCCCCAACTTATAAACTTACGTTATAGTGTCCATTTCGGTCAGTTCGCGATCAAATCAAAACCGCGTAAGTGTCGTGGCAACCAAATAGTATGATTTACGGGAATCTATTGTTATCAGTCCGTAGACGACATAAATTAATGCTTACTGTGCAAAAATGAAAGTCGCAGCCGTTGAAACAACAAAGCGATAACGTTAAAACCCTCTCCTGTAAAATTTGGTTTGGTGTAGATACGCGCCTTTTACCATTGCTACATACGCGGTTTTTCACTATCCCCGACGATATGTCATTCTCCTTAAGTCTGTTTACCAGCCGAATCAATAGTGAAATATCCCACTTAAGAAAAAAGAAAAAACAACTTACCAACAGTAGTATACCGCACATAAGTCTCCTGGTTATCCATCATGGCATCGACCGCCTGCTTCTCGCAGTACAGAGCCGTGATCACTGCTATGCTTGGTTGTCGCGATGAACATAGTGTCGGCATTTGTTTCACTACCTATAAATTAATATTCAATTAACGAAATCGCATGGCAAATATTCTGCATTCTGTATGCCAAATAATCTGCATTCAGCGTGATAGAAGAAAAGGTCATTCCTCTCGGACGGTCAACAGCACATAAAGCTATACACTTTTCTTCGAATATCGCCTCCAGAGCAACTAAACATGATCCGTTTAGCTTGATATGCTGCCGTCTGTATCTTATTCCCAAGTTACCGTAGTATCTATAGTTTGACTAGTACATGTCACGAATTGTACATAACATAACGAAATTTATGTCAATTGTGTAATGTACAAATTAGGTACAAAACGAAAGCTGCGGTACTTACCGGGGCTGAATTCTCCGAAACACGCCTGTTTTTTGGCTTGTATCTAGTTTGTACGTTACATAATTGTTACAGTGGTGCACGAAAGGAGCTTTCTTTGTAATGGCGTACTATTCATCTCCTCTGTACGACTGCCGCAACCTGGGCAACAATCGGCGTGTACGTTACGCCGATTGGCAAATCCTTTCACGACGATGGCAAACACGTCCCACACTTCAGCATGGCGGTTATTAATAGTGACGTGGGTAGCGGTTGTAACTTCTGGGCCACAATAATATAGTGTATGCCATCGATACGATAAGAACACAATTGACATAAAGCTCATTAGGCTATGTACTAATAATAAGTTCTATAGTTTAGTTAGTAATCTAAATTCGAGACTACTTAACACAGCTATTCTTGAAAGTTGTAGAACGTAAGTTGTTTGCACTTTGAGTAGAAAGCTGATATAAGTTATACGTTTATAATCTTACCTGAGTGTCAACACTGTGTTGCCTAACGTACAGTCCGTCTGACATTGCTCTTGTTAACCCCTTTTCTTCCAACGATTCTAAGGCATCTTTTACTTCTGTTTTCGACCATTTACCAGCACTGCAATAAAATTTTGTGATATAATGTGTTTGCCGAAGACAAAAAATTTTAGAAACTACTATGCAGACACACAGTAGGTGCCTACGAAAAAAGAGTGGGTCATGATGTTTTATTATTTCGTAGTAACTCTTTTTTTACATCTATTTCAAAGCGTTGCTGTTTATTATTTCCTTTATAGCGGCCACTGGGTAAATTTCAGTTTTATAAGAATAATACAAAAATTATGGCGATCATCTTAATAATGCCAGACAACCATACCCGGTGCCTAGTCTCAAACTAGAAAATTTCCTGTACTACGAGTACCAGAGCGCCGGAATTCACTCTGAGGTACGTCCCAGAACACCCAGACCAAAACCAATTTAGACAAGTTCATTTCCCAAATTGGTCTTACCGGGAACCGAACCCGGGAACGCTGCTTCCTGCTCCACACATTTTGTCAATGGATTGTACCTATCACTGCTGGGCAATGATGTCCTGGAAAATGATTGAACCATAGTTCGCCATGCCCCATCGAGTATATAGCCAGAAATAGAGACGAAATAAAGGCCATATATCCTGGTAACACATTAGCGATACAGCGCTTAAAAATATCAACTCCCGTTTGCACTGAAATATAGACAGGCCAACTAGTGACCTGTGCGCACGTCTCCGTATATTCCAAAAAATATTCTGTATTTATTGTAATAAAGATAATATCTCTAACAATGCCGTGCTCTTCTACTCCGTAATGTGGGAAAAACAGCAAAATATCTAATTACAAAATAAACGGAATCATATTTCATCGGTAATTAAATATATAATATTTAATTTTGCAATTTTCGTCCATTATAGCAAAGCTCAAGTTAACTGGTCGATTTTGAAGTAAAACAGTTGATGACACCCATTGACGACACCCGTCAATTGTTTCGAACTCGGGCTAGCCAATCGGAGCTCAATTGTCACAGTAATGATGTGGCAGAATAGTTTTCAAACAAATTAAGTGGCATTTCGTCTCTATTTCTGGTTATATACTCGATGCCAAGCCCGAATGGAGTTTGAGGCGTTCGCACGTTTTTCACAGATTCTGATGGTTTCACGATGTTTTCAGTCACTGTTAGCGAGAGCTATTGCTACTAAACATTCATGTGAATGTTGGCCAAATGAGCACTTATTTTACACACAGAAAAAAACCACACTATTCCACACTTTTGCGGTACGCATAAGGAAGGATGAATAAAGGGCTTCGTGCAAATAATTGGTACGTCCATGACATATACATAAATTGAGGAAGTGTAATATTACACGCCCGTTGGCTGATCTGTAACTTATGACTTGTATCTCAAGTCACCTGTGACTATGATTGAGCTGGCTCTCTTCACCTTTGAATCCGAAACACAGTCCCACTTTGCAACAGAAATGAGGGCAAAGTTACTTATTTGAACAATTTCTGTACAAGTTGAGAACTCTACCACCTTCACCCATAAAAGTTTCTCCATTGTAAGGATTCTCTGAACATTTAATTTTATTAGGCCTACATAACTACAAACGAGACACTTTCCATTAATTCATTTGACGACCTCAGTGGCTCAGCGGTTTGTACTATGGGCGCTGGATGAGGAGGTTCCAGGTTCGATTTCCGGTAGGACCAATTTGGAAAACGGAATTTTCTAAATTGGTTCTGTGGCCGTAGCATGGCAGAATATGTGTGATTAACCTCCCCGTGACAATATTTGATTCAATTGATAATTATTTTTATTTATTTGTTGAGCATTAGCTATAGAGCCATCAGCTTAAACAAGCAACAAAGGATTAAGAAACTTAAAACGTAATAATACTCAAAATTAAAAATTAAATTGTGAAAAAACTTATTGATAATTATTATTTCTTTATTTATTTATTTATAAAGCATTGGCTCCATAGCCATCAGCTTAATGGTAACAAATAATCAAGAAACGCACAACGTAATACACATAAACTAAAAATTAATTCGTATAAAAATGTAATGTATGTTTTTTTTCAGTTGATAAATCTAAGTTTGCTAATTTGGCAATGAACTATTATTATACATTTTGAAGAACAAAGACAACGATGTAAAATTGCTTATATCTTTGTCGTTTAATTATCGCCGCAAAAACGACGAAACAAAAAATGACAAAGCTAAATTTGCTTATTTTGTAATGAACTATTGTTATACATTTTTTTGCACATTCTGTAAACGTTGGTTGTTGGAAAAAACAAATAAACGCAATTTAGATCCGAAAAACTAGCTTCATTACCTAAATTAATATATACTTACGTAACAACATCTTCTATGGTCAATGGGTTAGGATAAGCATTTTCAATCATATCCAAAACTCTCTGTTCCGATATAACAGGAGTATGATTTGCTGCGGCCTCTTCTATGAAAGCTAAAAACATTCAAATTGTATTTAGTAGAAACTATTATAAGTACTTATATTTTACGTCTACATAGTAATGCAAATAAATTGATGGATATACTAGCGACGACGCTAAAGCACTTTTACTTATACAATCTACGTGTACGACATACCTACGGTAATTTTAACAATAAACATAATAATAAATTTGTGTATGTATTTGCAATAAATAAGGGACTATTTACATATTCTCTAATAATTTCTAAACTAAAGAAATAATTCAATTAAAAAATCTACGGACGTCGCCTCTGCTCCAACTTCGTTTAACATCACTCCGCATTCGCCTACTCCGTACTGTTGCCACAAGGATTACATTAAAAAAACTACATTTGAGTGATTTTTGTCACTTTTACCATTTCGACCGACATATTTGGAATATTAGTTGTGGCACATCTCTAAAGTGCCAAGTCAAGAAAAAAATCTGATATATTTTTATGCTGACCACACTAATGCTTGTAGTGTAATTAATTAACAAGTCTATATTAAATTTAATTGGTTCGGATTGTACATTGAATATGACATGGCTATATTCTAGATCAGGACATTACAAAGTTTGACCACATGGCAACTGAATCATATCTCATAATAACATACAACTTTAAGAAAAACAATGGCAAACAAGTAATTGTGTTGTGTTAAGTTCTTTTTGTCAATGATAATCTAAATATAATATCCCTTTTTTGTTACGCCCTTTAGATATAAATTAAAGAAATATCTACAATTTCTAATCAAATAAGTTAATGATTAACTATCACGCACAAAAACATAAATATGCATAAATACAGGTAGTCATTTCACATGCACTATTATTGCTACATAACAAATATGTCAGTACGTGGGTAAAGGTACTTTATTCAAAACAGCTATTTGACAAGCCGCACCAAGACGTAGTTTTCTTATATTTATATCTTATGTGATATTTTTATCGAGTCATTGTTTAATGATTGTGTTTTGTTAATTTATCACATTTGTGTGTTACATAGGGCGCACTATAAGTTTCCGGAACTGGCTACTTACAAAAACAATATTTAAAAAGTAATTGCAACATTTGAAAGTGGAACTCTCTCGCTGTAGAATACAGTTTGTTTCATCTGACTGTCACTTGTTTATACAATGTGGCGTCATGTTAGAAATTGGTTGTCTACATCACCATGGATTTAACTTGTGAAAATTTTCGTAGTATGATTTTCTACGACTTTGAGGGCCGTATTCCAGAACTCTACTCAATGCTCAAGTCAGGATCTGAGTATGATTTCAAGCACTGGAAATGGAAATACGACCCTAATGGTAGGGACTTCAGTATGATTACGAGTGTTTTAAACCATACTCAAATCCTGACTTGAGCACTGAGTAGAGTTCTAGAATACGACCCTAAGGGTAATTTAATAGCTCAGCGGAGCTTCCCTCGGCTTCAAACTGCTTTTGGCGATGAAGCACCATGCTAAAAGACTATTTATTGAATCTCAGTGACGAAGTTCGTGACGGTCGCCCGTCCACTGTTGCGAACAACAAAAACATTGATGCTGTGCGCCATATGAACAAAACAGACAGGCATGCGACATACCATGAGATTCATCTTTAGGCATAGGCATGAGTCAAATACAATCAATACTACACAAACATTTGGGTGTGAAAAAGCTATGCTTTCGGTGGATCCCACACAATTTGACTGAGGCTCAAAAAACGGATCGCGTCACTTGGTGCAATGCCATGCTTACCAGATTCAACGAGGGGGCGTCAAATTTGGTGTGGGACATAGTAATAGGTGACGAAACATGGATTTATAGTTACGATACCAAAACAAAGCAGCAATCGGTCTTTCGAGATGAGCCGAAACCAACCAAAGTGGCGCGCGTGCAAAGTGCCTCTAAGCGGATGATTGCTTCATTTTTTTTTTTAAACTGGACACGTGGCTACTGTTGCTTTGGAGAATCGTTGCACCGTGAATAGTGATTGGTACACGACCATTTGTTTATTTCTGACAATTTATTGTATTTTTTTCTTATTCATTCCGGAAACTTATAGCGTTAATATTATTACAGAATATTAGCGAGTTTTTTATGCTTCATTGTCATCTATAGTTAATTTTTTATACTTCATTTTGAATTAAGTTACTCATTTCTTGTTCATTTCTCACTGACATAAATTTCAGAGTGAGGTATTATCCACTCTGTATTACTTAAAGTTTAGGCAATTATATTCTGCTTTTTCGAATCTCTACTAATATATAATAATAATGTCTATAATTCACCCTTTCAATTCCCGCTATAAAATACCTTTACTTGTGGTTCACGATATATTGCTAATAGTAACTATAAAACATAGAGTGGAAATCACTAACAGAAATATATATAACCTTCATAGTACCATAAACTATTACGTACGTATAGTATCTATGAAGTCGACTTAAAAACTCGAGTTTACTCTGAACATAGTTTAAAAGAACAAATCTTTGTGGTACTATTTTTGCAAATTTGGGCATAAAATGTCTCCACCTGAACAAAGCTCGATCTTAAATTTAAATAAATAGAAATACTACTAATGAAATGAGTATTTACAGAATCTATAGAACGAAAATTATTAGTGATATCCAGAATTCTCTTATAATTTTTGCGCCAACTTTATAGACACCATGTAAGTAGTATTGATAAATTACTACGTAGACGTAGACAAGAAACAAAGAGTAGAAAAATAAATTTAGTAATATGAATTAATTTTAAAAAGAATCCCGTGCTTAACTTCGAAAACAATATCCCAATATATAGATTTTTGAAAGTCTTACGAAAGAGAGATTTTTACATTATGCATTAGTAAGGTGTATTATAGGTGGGGACGTGTTTGTATGGCAAAGAAAATCCATGCATAAAATTAAAATACAATACATACAGCCATTACATAAGTTGTATATAACGCTCTTACTCGTAATAACGCCATTGGCCTCTGTATGGTAAAATTTAAAATTAAATGCTTATTAATTACATACATTTCAATACATATGTATTATATTAAGCAGATAATCACGATCAGATTTATATACACCCCTGCACCAATAAATTAGGAACTTTTAATACGCAATTTCGAGGAAAATAAGGTTGCTTTTTAAACGACTTCAAAAAAGGAGGTTCTCAATTCGACTGTACTTTTTTTTTGTATGTATGTTACGCGATAACTCCGCCATTTCTGAACCGATTTTGATGATTCTTTTTTTGTTGGAAAGAGGGTACCTCTATAATGGTCCCATTTATTTTTGAAGAAAATCATCAACCTCTTAAGGTGGCTGTTTACGCATGAAGATTCATTTTTATAAATAGCGCCTAAATTTTATTATAAGGAGCAATTATTTTAATGGTTGATTTTTGCTATTCTCTAATTCAAGGCGTTTTCTCTCAATATACTTTTAATAGTGAGAACCGATTTTTATTATCGCCTGTGTCAAGTTCCGTATAATGGCGAACTAGGGGATGAATCCGGGTTTGCGCACTTTCCGGTAACCGATTTCAATAAAACTTTGCAAATAGATGTAATTCCACGTACTTTTGAGGTCGGTTACTCTGTACTGATTCCGTATAAAGTGTAAGATAAAGGTAGAACCGTATTTCAGCGGGTGATAGTGCTCATGACAATGATAAACAAATTTAGAAAAAAAAATTAATTTCGCTAAAATTAGTTATCACATTTTGATTATCATGTCATAAGTACTTGCTGAAATTTGGTCCCACTTTTTTACACTATTTATTTATTTCAAATTATTTCTCGAATGCAAAGCACTGAATAGATATAAGAATAACTTCTTCCGAGATTAATTATTTGAAGTCACCCAAAATAAAAATCTCATCAGTGATTTGTACAATATAACAATAATAAATTGTATGTGTTTTACCCAACATTCAAAATGATAAAATGACAAAAAAAAACGAGTAATGAGTTTGGGTAGTGGAAAGCTAGGGATAATCTCCCACGTCATTCCAAATTATTTTCACTGATTTTAACATTGAATGGGAAGCTTTGCCGAGTAATTAGACATTAACTTTTCATTTTAGTTTTTACCTGGCGGAGGAGGTCCATGTCCCTCCTGTCGGAGTTCTATCTCCAATATTTTCAACTGGTTATACTTTTGCTGCATTAGCTTGATAATCTTCTTTATGAAGCCCACATAATCTGAAAATTAACACAATTACATTTCGAATTAAAAATATATTGGAAATATTTGGGTTAACAAATTACAGAGAGCATTAGGAGAGGGCGGCACGGTATGCTGAAGGCGCTGATTTTTATCCAGCCGGATCGAAGGAATTTTTCTTAGTGTTCGATCTTTGTATTAATTAATAATTATTACAAATTACTAATCATTAATTAATATTGTGAAAATTGTGCTCAGGCTTCAGTATAAAACTTTCAGTTTTTATTGAAATTAAGCAAACATTTATCATAATCGTGGCGTAGCAAGATAAGGTTTCTTGGCATTAACTCAAATAATGAAGAGAAGCATACATATTTAACTTTAATGTATGATCTAATCGATTTTCGATTTATAATCTAAGCCCTAACAAGTTGCCAAGAATTTTCAAAAATTTATTTTTGGTAATCCTTATGAAAGTGGCATTTGTATCAGAATACATGATGGCTGACACGACCTTTCGCATTTCTAAATGCAAGATGGCGGGCACGATTTCTCAAAAAATGGCAAGTTGGGTATCATTTTCGAGGTATTTGGGGGTGCTCATTACGAACATAGCACTTATTTCTAAATCCAAGATGGAGGGCATGATTTTTCAAATAATGGCAAGTTGGGTATCGTTTTCGAGGTATTTGGAGGTGCTCATTACGAATATAGCACTTGTTTGTAAATCCAAGATGGCAGACACGATTTTTCAAAAAAATGCAATATGGGTATCGTTTTCGAGGTATTTGGGGGTGCTCATTACGAATATGGCACTCATTTCTAAATCCAAAAGGGCGGGCACGATTTTTCGAATAATGGCAAGTTGGGTATCGTTTTCGAGGTATTTGGGGGTGCTCATTACGAATATAGCACTTGTTTGGAAATACAAGATGGCAGACACGATTTTTCAAAAAATGCTAGATGGGTATCCTTTTCGAGGTATTTGGGGATGCTAATTACGAATATGGCACTCATTTCTAAATACAAGATGGCGGGCACGATTTTTCGAATAATGGCAAGTTGGGTATCGTTTTCGAGGTGTTTGGGGGTGCTCATTACGAATATAGCACTTTATTTCTAAATCCAAGATGGTGGATCCTAATCGACATTGTACGTCGATCGTATCTGTAGGCATCTTTACGTTACTAATATATTATGTGTAAATAGTGTAAGCAGTAAGAGAAATAGAAAATTATATGTAATTCTATATTTTAAACCACTGGGCATTCCTACATCTTTCGATTAATAGCATGAAAGAAGAGGAAATTATAAGAAACTTTGCTCTAGACACAATTTATGAGCAGACAGTAAAAATTTATAGACAGATTTAAAAAAGTAAAACCGTTTTTTGGCTCTCCCGAAGAACCGTGGTTTCGACATATGTGGTGACACCTAATGTTTTATTGTTGGTTGCTGAAGATAAGTTCATATATCACTCAGCACTATAAATAACTTTTAAAATGAATACTAATCATGGCGCATGGCGCTCATTTAGGTAGCCACATTAGGAACTTTCGAAGTATGAACTTAATTGCTACGAATTTGATTGATACCCTCACAGCTATATTTGAATTTTTTATGGTAAATAAACTGGCAAATGGTCAGTCTATTGCTAGAAAGTGTTTACAACAGTTTATAAACATTTATGAAACTAAGGAAATACTAATTAGTATAGTAATTGTGTTGATGTTTTCACTGATTGTGTGGTCTGTGCAAACTTGTTTAACAGAACAAATTCATAGGTAATGATACAATTTTTTTGAACCTTCATGGCACATATTTGTTTTTTTAACAAACCAACGTTTCGGGCCCTTTATAGGTCCCGTGGACACGGCTGGCTGAAACAAACCAGTAGGTAGTTATAAAAAACAAATATACGCGATTTAGATACGAAAATATAGTTTAGTTTAATACGTGTAATAATCACAAAAACTTAAGGACAGAATAAAGTCACCTTTAGGAAAGTCTTGTGGACTGACAAGTTCTCTGAAGAATGCCTGAGCCTCATGTGATCGTTCATTTGGAGGTAGTTGCGGTTTGAACCAGAAGCGAAGAGCTCTTGCTTCCCGCGTATGGGACCCTGTCGCTGCCGACACTAGGTATACTCTAAACTCCAGTTGTGCGTGGCATGGTTCAGTAACACCATTCTCTGGAATATTTAAAAAATAATTACATACAATTCATTACAAAGCGATATACAGCCAATATACATATAAGTTGTATACAATATTATTTTTTATTATTAATTAAGAAATAGATACAGAAAAAATACAAAAATTTGTGCTGCTAACGGTGTAACAAAAACCATTTTTGGTTTGACCGTACATTTAACATTTAGTTTACACTTTAAAGTTATAAAAAAAAAAAGAATAAGAAAACGATAAAAAAGAATGACAATAACTACATTCTATACTAATAACATTTCCAGTACAAAATATTAACAAAAAATAAGAAAGAATAAAAATGTGAGTGGGTATCAATTAGTTCGCGTAATAACGCACCAATACATCACACATTCCAGTCAAGTTATACAATTATTGGTGGTTAACACACGGAAGGATTTTATTCTTTTAAAAAATATTGTTTAAGTTTAATTTTAATATTGTGTGCATTTATTTCGGTTTTGAGTTGTACTGGTAGTTCATTTATTAATTTAGGTACTTGGTATTGTAATAATTGTTTTCCGTATAAGTTTTTGTATTTTGGTATTTTTAACGTAATTTTTGACGCACTTCTTGTGTTTATTTTTGGTATAATAATGTTTTGTAAGTGTGAATTGAAAAAGTTTTCTAAAAGGAGAATGTATTTGACCTGATCATGTATGGGTATAATTTTGAAATGACGTAATAATTCTAAGTAGTTGTCTTGATATTTATTTCTAATTTTGGTAGGTGTAATAGTTTCAAGAATTCTGACTTGCAGTCTGTAAATAGGGGTCCAGATGCGATTTACAAGTTCTACCATAACTACTAAGTCCATAATATATTGTTGTTTCACCTAGAGCCTTATACAAGTATAGAATTGACGAGAAAGGAATTTTGTTTCTAACAATAGCCAGTTTTGCCAATATTGCCCGTAGTTTGTCACTGACATAATTAATATGCTACATTATATATATTTAACACATTCAATTGAGCATTATGACCTATAACGCAGGATTAAAAGGAGCATATAGCACATGGGTTTAGCAATGAGAGCTAAGCTGTTATATGTTAATAAACCTACTAATTATATGTATTCCTACAATAAAGTTCAGTTCAACAACTTTATTTTATTTACATTCAACGTGAACCAATAAATTAAATCTATTTATAAATTTAAATGCTTATTATAAATCTTAGTTTGTTGGCACCAAGTTATCTGAGTTCAGCCCAGTTCATACAATGTATTCAATTTCAATTGAATCAGAAAGCTGCTAAATAGATCATGGCTAACATAATTAGAGCTTTCACATTTGGAATTTTAATATACAAATATCAATTAAAAATCATTACCCAAACTTCTCAGAAACCAACACTAATTCCCTTGATAAAAAAAGAGAGTTGGTTGTAAATAAAATAAATTAATTCAAAATCTCTTGACTACATAGTTAATTAATTTTTACAGTGCAGAAGTGAGGTCAACTCATGTATACACGCATATGAAACCAAATACTGTCATAACTCAAAAATGATGGAATTGAGAACACAAGATTGTAAAGTTAAAAAAATTACTGAACGGAACAATAGCATTATTTGCAATAAGATTCACTTAGGTTTTTTAATTTTCAAATTGTGTTTTCTCAATTTCACCATCTTTTAGTTACAACAGTATTATGTTCGTAATCACAGACCTCGAGTTAAAAAGCGCAGATATGTGGCTACACAACTTTATTGTCATGAATCTTAAATGTAATTAAAACTTTTATTGAAACTGTTAGAGCTTCTTTTAAAACAGTCATATAACAATGACATGTACTAAGTAGTGCAATGCTCATTATTATAATTAACAATGTTATTAGCCTACTGATTCATTCTTATTATGGTTTAACCCATTGTGCTTCATGTTTCTTCCATTGAGATCACTAAATGATTTTATTTATAACTGTGACATAGTGATGTCATATGTTTGCTTTTTAAGCTATCAGAATTTTTTATTCAATCCAATGAATTTTATTATGTGTTGCAACACTATTGTATGATTATAATAAAGGACAGGAAATATGCAGGGTCAATTGATAATATGCAATGCTTTTTTTACATTCATGTAATTTAGTATTTATTTACTTTTCCAATTTGAATATTTTGAATTGATATAAATAATTACAAAGTCAGTAATTATATGTACATTGCAAATGAATTTAAAAAACGTTTAAATTAGGCAATAGCCACTCATACACCAAAATATACATTGTTGTTGATTCACATACTACATAAATACAAAGTTTCCGTGAGTGTTCGTTGTTTACAAACTTTACTTACCATATACTTTTTCCTTATTTATAATAATACCAGTATGGTCTCCTCCTGCCACATGTATTTTATCACTAGCTTCAGCTTCTACAGCTTTTCGTTCCACAATCAGTGTTGTGGAATTAGCTGTTTTGCACTTGGGAGTCATTATAACCTTTTCTTCAATGTCTGCCATCGTGATCACTCACCTAAAGAAAACAAACTGTGTCACTGGTTCCCAATTTGTTCCCGCCCAAGACGCTTTTAAGTTCATTGATGAGTCATATGACTGCACCTTCTCTTTTACAGCAAGCAGCGCATAGCTGCAGCAAAATAATTTCAAATCAGATTGACATAAGGCTTAACTTGCTTGTTAGATCGAACTTTCTCAAGGTAATCTTGTACTAAAGTATTAGTAATGTAAAATCTAAAATGTATAATGCGATACATCAGTAAATAACATTGATGATAGACATCTATAAAATTGTGCTTACCGTGTTTGTGTACACAATATAATAATAATGAAATGAAACGAAATTCAACTTTGTGGGGTAGTCTTATTGGAACAAAATTCAAGAATCCGACGTCTGCGCGAATAACGAACGACAACCGACAACAGAACAATTTTTTCTTTTCGTTCAAAAGCTTCACTTCACTTTTTATTTTTATGGCTCCATCAATATGAGAACTGATGATTTTGCCAATGTCACAGTTGAAAGAAAAAAAAACGAAACAAAAAAAAAAATTTTCGCTAAGCTCTAATAGGACATTAACCGGTGTTGGTAAGTTGGACTACGGGAGTACTCAGTTGAGAATGTAAAACAAAACAGCAAAACAATATTTATAAATATATGTTATTTAAGTGGATAAATTTACATAGAGTAACAATATGGGGGGAGAACACTAAAGTTAAGAGGTTGTTTATGTTAACGGGGCGGGGGAATTTTGGAGAAAGTAAGTTATAAAGTGGAACAGCAATATTAGGACAATTGAAAAAAATGTGTTCCAAGGTACCGTCTTCTAGGCCGCACTCGCACAGAGAGTGATCTCGAACTCTGATTTTACGCAAAAATACAGGTGTGCAAACATGGCCTAAGCGCAAACGAATAATAGTGGAAGTGATGTTTTTAGGCAAATCGCGACGTTTAAAAAACCAGGGTTTAGTGGGTAGATTTGGTTGGAGATTACCATAGTGTCTACCAACAGTTTGTCGTGATTCCTGCCAAAGGACCGACCAGGAGGCTAGCATTTGGGGTTTAGTCATGGCGAGCAGATCTCTGGGAAAGCACTTACAGTATTTGCACACGCCAATTCTTGTCGCATCCTTTGCAAAGGCGTCTACTGCTTCGTTGCCACTGATCCCAGTGTGACCGGGAATCCAGGCCAGAGTTACCTCAATTCCCGCACAATGACATCGGTACAGAGCTTCCTTAATTTGGAGGGTGATGGAGAAATTGTCTTTGGAATGAAACGGTAGCTTAATAATGTCTTGGAGGCAACTTAGTGAGTCTGAGAAAACCAAACATTTATTAATTTTATGGGACTCAATATATAAAATGGCTTCGAGTATTGCAATTGCCTCTCCCGAAAAGACCGAATTCAGATAGGGGGATTTAAAACTGAGTACGACATTGAACTTGGGGAACCAAACCGCGGCTCCCAAGTCGCCATGTTCGTGTAATTTTGAAGCGTCGGTAAAAACAGTAGTCCAGTCATGCCATTCTCTCTCAACTATATCGTTGAAGACTTGGTTTGCTCCAGGGGTATCTTTCATGATGCCAAAACTAAGATAGACTGTTGGGCGAAACGTTAAACATTTAAAATCAGTTTCAAACAACGGGTTCATATAATTTTGGTAAATAGGGAATGGGAGATTGGAAATTTTGTTAAAACTGTTGATAAGAAGGGGGGGTTTCTTGTGTGACCAATAATTGGAGGAAGGGATAATCTCCGACAAGGATTGCAATACGGGAAGCAAAGGGTGAGAAGAATATTGAAAGATCTTGAAGAGGAATCTATTAGCAAGGAATTGTCTACGTAGATGTAGAGGGGGCTCCAGACATTCGACTTGAAGAGCGTTTGTTGGTGAGGATTTCATGGTACCTGTGATTATTCTCAGGCATCTTGCCTGGATTCTGTCCATCTTAGCCAAGGCTATTTTGTTGCATGGTTCCAGAAGGAAGCCGCCATAATCAAAATGACTTCTAATGATTGCGTTGTACAGGAGCTTTTGGTTATACGGATGTGATCCCCAACGAACACCAGAAAGTGCACGTAGGACATTTATGCTTTTTTCAGCTTTTTGACAAATATAGTTGAGGTGATGGATGCCAGATAATTTTGAGTCCAGAATAATGCCTAAAAATTTTACTTTTTCCCTCAGTTCTATGATTTCCCCATTAACATGTATTTCAGTTTCAGGGAGGCGTCTCTTGCGGGAAAAAACGACAGCTGTGCTTTTGTTAGCTGAAAGAGAGAGGCCGTGATCGGTAAGCCAAGAGTCTAGGTAAAAAAGGGCAGAGTTGAGGCGTCTTTCAGTATCTGAAAAAGATTTGGAACAAGCGTACAGGGCGATATCGTCTGCATATTGCAAGATTTTGCAGAAGCAATTGACTGAAGTGCCGAGGTCAGACGTGTACAAGCTGAAAAGGAGAGGGCTAAGAACGGAACCTTGAGGCAAGCCGTTCCAGACCATACGGGAGGGGGTTGTGGAACCGTTAACACGCACTGCGATAGAGCGACCCATAAACATGTTGTAAATGACATTGATCATCTTCACAGGAATACACAGATTGAGCATCTTCTGCCAGAGTAGTGGAAGGTTCACGTTATCATAAGCTGATGTTATGTCTAAGAACACACCTATGACGTGTTTTCCCTCGGAGAGGGCTAGTCGAACATCTGATGAAAAAATGCTTAGGCTGTCCATAGTGCCCATGCCTTTTCGGAAGCCAAACTGGCTTCTGGGTAACAATCCCTTGCTCTCTACTATCCATTCCAGACGGTTTTTTATTAGGTGTTCCATGATTTTAGCTAAAACAGATGATAGGGCGATAGGTCGATACGAGTTTGCATTAGATGGGTCTTTCCCAGGTTTTATGATTGGAATGATAATTTGGGTTTTCCATGAAATAGGGACTATGCCAGATTCAAAAATTGTGTTTATAATATTCAAAAAAAAAATTTTGGTAGGATTAGAGGACCTGGTAATAAACGAATAGGGAATGCCGTCCGCACCCGGCGCCGAATCCCTTAAATGGTCCAAAGCACAGCTTAGTTCTTCAAAAGAGAAGGGGGCATTCATACTGTCAGGAGATGACAAGGAGGTGTTTATAACGGTAGGAGCTTCTGAAGGAACAAAAGGGGGGGATAATTTTGTAATAAAATCCACAAGCCAGGGTGTCGGGTCGTTAGACGAGGTGTTGTTGTGATCAGTCTGAGATCTGCGAAAGGATTTTATTCTCTTCCAGACTGTAGACGGGTGGGTGCGGGGTTCCAGAGATTCGCAGAATGCACGCCATCCTTGAAATTTCTTTTTGCTCAGAAATCTTCTCGTGTGAGCGGAAATCTTTTGGAAAGTTAAATAATTCTCAAAGGATAAGTCACATGTGAATTCAAGTTCTGCCCGATTTCTTTCCTTGACTGACGCAGAACATTCCGAATCCCACCACGGGGGAGAGGAAATTTTTCTATTTGCAGAGTTTTTTAATGGGATCGTTTCATCTGCGGCTGAAAGCAAACATGTGATGAACTCTGAATATATATGCAGAACTGTTGAGGGGGTTACTTGAACTGGTTGCATGTTTACAATTTTGCTGTTCAGGACCAAGGAGTAAATGTCCCAGTCTGCCTGCCTAAGCCTGTATTTAAGTAAGGGAGGGGGGTCTGGTGTGAGGATAGGTGAGGAGTCTCCTACTGAAATTAATATAGGAAGGTGATCGCTACCAAAGGAATTTAACAGAACAAGCCAGGAGGTGGAAGGGGCTAAACTAGGAGAGACTAAGGTTAGGTCAGGCGCGCTGGTATTTTGAAGGGGGGAAGTTCTGCGTGTAGGAGAGCCATCATTAACTATACATAAATTTGTGTTGTCCAGAAGATCGAGAAAAGCAGAGGATAAAGAGTCGCAGATGTGAGATCCCCACAGCGAGTGGCGTATATTGAAATCTCCTAAAACAATTAGGGGGGAAGGGAGGGATGAGAGGATCACGGATAGTTCTATGATGAGGTCAAGGCTAGGATGGGGAATGTAGACAGAGACAAATGATTTGTTTTGTGCTCTAATAGCGACAACATGGAGGCCTGTGGAGTGTGTGGGGATGGAGAGTTGTGTATATATGATGTTCCTTTTCACTAGTAGGGCACATCCAGCCCACCCATCACTTCTGTCATCCCGAAGGCATGCATAGCCAGGAACTCTGAATAGGGCTCCCGGTTTTAACCATGTCTCGGAAATACCAAAAACTACGGGGTGATATTTATTTATCAGAAAAATAGGTTCGTGTTTTTTATTTTTTATATTACGGGCGTTCCATTGTAGAATTGATGTCATTGTTGGATAAAAGAGATTGTAATAGTTTTGAGATCATACTTTGAATAATTTCAAGGCCATTGTACGGTAAGATGTCATTAAATTTGGAAAGTACATTTATAATTAAATTAGTTATAATATCTGACAGGTTGTCATTTGGACTAGTAGAACAAGGGTTATTATTATTTGAGTGGTCTCTAAGGAGAGAACACCCATTAGATTGCAAAGATTTTGGTGTAGATGTTATGAGGTTATGTGAGTATCTATCGTATCCTTGTGTTTGTTCTTGACTGTGGCGGCTTTCTGAAAAAGTTGTCTTGCGATAAGATGTGGAAGGAATCTGGGACTGTGGGCGGGCAGGGGTACAGGGAGGAGACCTAACTGTTTGAGAGGGGTGGGGAGAGGGGGGAGTCTGCGGGTGCTGGGAAGGAGATGTCATGTCAGCATATGATTTCCGGACAGAACTGAATCGTCTGGAAGCTTCTATGTAACCAATATTGTCTTCAGCCATCACTTTTTTAATTAACTTTTGACGGGCATGCTCAGGGCACCTTGAATCTGTAGCTTTATGGAAGGCAGAACAGAGAAGACAAGACACAGCATCATCTGGAACGGTGCAGGAGGACCCATCATGATTCTGGGCGCATCTGGAGCAACGCGGATTAGAACGGCATTGTTCACGAACATGTCCAAAGCGGCAGCATTTGTGACATTGAATGATGGGTAGAGCATATAGGTCCACTGGGAGAGACATATTAAAACAAAATACTTTCTCGGGGAGGATCTGTCCCAGAAATGTCAACACTACAGTGGCAGATGGCTCCCAAGTGGCTTGTCCTTCAATTATACGCTTTTTATTTAGCCTCCTAGCCTTTATAACTTTAACCTTTGGGGGGCATTTGATGGAGTGAACCAATTCCTCGAGGGACCATTCCAAGGGGATCTGGCGAACAACACCATTGCGAGTGAGGTGAAAGCGGGGGATAACAGCAGAAAGTTTTTTATTGTTAAGGAGCGGACTCTCAATAAAGTTGTTTGCATCCTGTGGTGTTTGGAAGTAAATTTAGACACAAGACACAAGTTGCCAAGTCCTATGTTATCTATAATTTCACCCTTACTCTTCAAAACCGGAACGCAGTAATGCTCACATTAGTGCTTGGCGGCAGAAATAGATACGAACAGGGCGAACTTTTTCACAAGGAGCTTCACGGCTTCTAAAACAGATTTAAAATGATTATGCAAACAGAACGTGGTCAAGTTCAATTAAAATGTTAATATATTACAAAAACTGCGAATTCAATAAGTTTATTTCCGTTCCGAATAACAAGACTCAGCTGAAAGACGCAAAGCATTGAGTCCAGAAATACGTTTGTAGATACGGAATTTACAACTGATGTTGCGGCCCTATTAAATTTATGGAAGACTTGCATTCGAAACGGCTTTTTTCGTGCGCAAGCCACCTCACGGATTTTCGAATCGGAATAATTTCGAACGGAATAGAACTGTATGTGTGTGATAAGTCCGTAATTTGTATGGTTTTGCTGAAACGGGATTCGAGCTGTATGTAGTCGGCCTAAAGGATGTATTCATTATTTTTTGACTTGCAATCCGCCTAGACATAAAATGGCCCATTCACTACCTACGTAAGGGTAGTGAATGTCATAGACAGTTCCCCTATCTACGGGTAATGTAATAAGCGTTTTCGACTTATAGTCCCCTGAAATCGGGTAGTTTAATATTATTTATTTATTGAGTGTTGCCTTGAGTTTTAAGGATTTTAATGACTTGTTGTTGAGTCTCATCAAAATAAATAAACGATTTAAGGTCATCTATTTTATGATTTGCATTACATTTACATTTTTACTTTACTTTAAATTTTTCTTTCTGTTTGTCATTGTAATAAATAATGAGAACTCGAGATGTGCGGAATTTGTGGGGAATATTAATTTACCTCTCCCCAAATTTGGGGACTTTAATTTATGGGGATTTTGGGGAATAGGCATTGGCAACGCTGCCATTTCGTTTGAGTAGGTATCCGTCTTGTCTACAGTTATCTGTGATCCGTTTCACGTAGTATCTCTTATTAGTTCTACTTGTCTACAGTTATCTGTGTGTGCCGTTTCAGAACGATTTTTGTAAAAACACTCTTTGTGACACACACCTTTGCTATAAAAATTGTATAGTTTTTCTGACTGGACGAACCATACATACATATTCTTCTAATTTGTGAACCATACCCTTTGCGCCTAAACACTGTCAACATGTTTTTGAAACTAAGTTTATTACCCGTATTCCTTATTACTCTAGCCGAAAGTCAAACTTTGAGAAGTGTAAGCGACGATGATTTGTTACAGTTGATAAAAGATAGAGAAAAACTTATTGTTTTGTTCAGTAAGTATCGTGACTTTTAAAAATGTTCAAACAGCTGTAAATTTGTAGTGCTTATTTATAATATTAAATAGTTATTTTTCTTTTTATCTTTAAAGCTAGACCTAATTGTGACACTTGTAACAAGTTTGAAAAACTGCTGGAAGGGCTCCACTCGGATTTCAATAAACACATGAGTGCTGAGACAGTGAAAGCTGTGAACAGTCACTTGGCACGTCTCTACAATCCCACCAAAGAACCGGCCCTTGTTTTCTTTAGACATGGGATACCTTTACTTTATAGTGGTAAGCTTTTATTTTTTATAAACATTAAATACAAATCAACATGTATCATGTAACAACTTCTAACATTGCCCTTTTATCCTGATTTAGCTTGACCAAATTGCCTTTATATTGATTATAAGGTTTTACATTCAGATATATTCTGCTTATTTGGTTTCTTGTTTCAATATACTAGTAACTGAATTACAGCTTACTAAATCATCTTACACGCTTCCTATACATCTATATCACCTCTTAGGCCAAAAATTGGTTTTTAAAACCTCATTTCATTAAAATACATGAGATCCATGAATATCTTAAAATGCCTACAATTACTGAGGAAATCACTAGGCTAACTAAGTCGTATAAAGAAACAATAGCCACTCATACTAATAAACTAGCTAGTGCACTGTGTGTATTACCTTGGACGAGAAGATTGAAGCGTAAACACATTTGGGATTCAACTAACTGAGCTGTATAGTTTTCCACTCAAAGGCAATCCAACGTTGGAAGGGTATGCCAAAATATATAAAAAAATGAACTGCTTATGGTCACACATAAGACCAATTGCATGTTGGCAAAAAGAAAAGAAAAAAAAATCATTTAATTAATAAGTATTTTTTGCACTTAATACGGGCTAAATCCTAAAAGGGCACCAGCAATAAATAAAAAGGAAAACTGCCTCAGTACGAGATGCTTGTCTCATACAGTAATATGTCAGGTGATATCAGCGAGATGATGCAGGGAGAGGACAAAGATGCTGTAGAAATAATACTCAACCAATACTACGGAGTAACTTTATTGTACTGATAATTATTATTAATTATTTATAAATTTTGCATGTGCCCAATGTAGGTTGTGATGTTGCATATTGTCTGTTGCACAATAATGTACGTTGACCTGTACAGCCTCCATGGCCAAACAGTTACCATGCCAGTGTGTTCGATTACACACACACACATGCAATAGTTCGATTCCCGGACCGGGAGAAATATTTGTATGGTGGACATTTATTTTTCTTGTGACTTTGGGTGTAATTGTAGTTTTTTATGTGTGTGTCCATCAACAAAGCAACCACAATATAGGGTTTCTACAGTGCGAGGCTTTGAAAAATTTGTGAACAGCCACTCATATTGTGCACCACTTGGCGAAGGCCAAGTGTATTGTTATTGTATTACCTTTGAGTAACTACCAAGTAGGACATCCAATTTTATCCTGTGTTTCTTATATTTCACTAGTTTCTTATATGGTTTTCAGGTGAGCCAGATGAAAATGAAATCTATGGCTTCTTTGACAAGAATCAAACTCCAGCTGTGAAGGAACTTACAGATAAAATATTTGAGCACATAACACAGGCTGCCACTGGGGCCACTACTGGGGATTGGTTTATTATGTTGTAAGTATTATTTCAGTTTAATTATATTATAAAATTAAAGCTAAAATAAACCAGTGAGCTCTTCTCAGAAAATCTACAATACCATTGTTGAGAGAAAACTTACCTCCCATATGCATGTGACACAATTTCAATCAAGCAGCATGCACCATTGACACTCCAAAATGATGTGTGCAGTTTACGATATCAAATTATTCTTCAGCTATATATAATTCATCAACTCAACATTTTTCTTATGTTGTGTTGAAACCGATATATTATGGAAATTTCATATTAGTTTTTGAAAACATGTGTACCTTGCATTGGGCCAGTATGGTGGTCTATGCCTAGCATTGAAACAAGCATGGATTGATAAAGAGCTTTTTAGTCTTCAAACTATACTCGCATTCTGTTCAGATGTGCCTAATGTCCGATGTTTATAAATAAATAGTCATACTTTTCATTGCCATAGTTTTATTCTCGACTGTACTTATTAATAGAAACGGTTGGGTAGTGGAATTTCATTTCCACTTATCCCAACCAGAGACGGTGTGGTAGGGAAGAGTGGAAAAAATCCACTTGCCTCCACCAGGGGCTGGTAGGGACTAGTGGGAAAGACTAATCTATTAAGTGTATGTCATGAATGGTGATGATAATATGGAATATTATGTCATTCTTCATAACCCGTTTTAATAATTTAAAAACGGGTTATGAAGAATGACATAATGCAAATCAAAAGATTGCAATCCAATGCAATCATTTGCATTGCATGTACATTTGTGATATCGTTTTATTTATTTTGTACATACGGCTATTTTTACAGGATTGTCCCAATACAGTAGTGTATCAGTTCTATTTACTTATGTATATAAAATAATAATAATAATACTGATTAGTAATTAAGTTCATAAATGGCTGTTCTATTCAATAATAATGACAAATAATAATCCATTAAGTACAATGACAAAGAGTGTTACCTTTGCAAATGTGTGTGTAATTTTATTAACACTGTTTAATTCTTATCGTGAAGTGATAATTATTGTATGTTTGTAGCTATGGTGCCTCGTGTGTAGAATGTCAGCGTCTGCATGCAGTGTGGGAAGGAGTAGGCGCGACGCTGCGCGGGCGCATCAACGTGGCGCGCGTTGACGCAAATCTCGCCGGCGCTAACACTGCCAAACGCTTTCATGTGTCCAAATTACCAGCTTTCTTATTGTACGTACTTTTGAATAAATGCTAGATGTAATGGAACCATAAATAAGTTTTAAATCTAAATAAGTTGATCTACTTATTACAATTACTTGAGGAAATCATGACTTTGATTTGCTGTTATGTGAATAAAAAGGACTAATGTAATGCCAATATTATGTTGAGATAAACACTGATGGTGATGAGTACACTGATACTATTGCCTATTTTAATTAAAAAATCAGTTGTGAAACATAATGTGATAGAACAGTTTTGTAAATAGAAAATTAGTATTAGTTATTTAATTTACTATTTCAGTTTCCGTCTGGGAAAAGTCTACAAATACGATTTGCCAAAGAATGACGTGAAGTCCTTTGTAGCATTTGCTCAAGATTGGTACAAAAATTCCAAAGGAGAACCCGTGCCTCTCCTAGCTTCGCCATTGTAAGTACTTACTGTTCGTTTTTATTTCAGAATAAGTCACAAAACTAAAAACTGTCTCGCAAAATATAAAAAATATTAATTTAATGAGGCTTTGCACTTCGATTTTAAAGAACATGCAAATTAATATTTAAACTGACAACAGACTAGAGTTTCGGTTTCATTCATAGAATAGACTATTCAATAATATATATAATAGCTCACACTCATTGACACACAGCAAGCGCGATGTCCTCCCATTCTTGTAAAGAAGATAACAATGGATTAACAAGAGCTCTAACCAAAACAAAACCAAATATACTAAACATCAAATTCATATCTATTATCAATTCTATAGATAATGCAAAGTCAATGTTAAGATTTGAGAACTTGGTGTTTTCTGTGACCTCTCAAAGGCATTTGATTACGTTGATCATATCACTCTTATTAGGAAGCTGGAACATTACGGTGTAAATGGCAAGGCGTCGAAACTTGTCTGGTCATATCTCAACGGTAGAATTCAGAAAGTAGACATAAATGGAGTGACTTCTTTGGGTTCTCCAGTAAAAATGGGTGTTCCGCAGGGCTCAATACTTGGACCTTTCTTATTTCTGATTTATATTAATGATCTGCCATTCTTTGTTAAGGACCATTGCGAAATAGTGTTGTTTGCTGATGATACATCCTTGATTTTTAAAACAGACAGACATGACATTAACTATGACCATATTAATGATACCCTCTCTAAGGTAGTGTATTGGTTTAATGCTAACAATTTATTGCTTAATGCCAAGAAGACAAAATGTGTTAAATTTGAATTACCTAACGTAAAATCGACTAGTCCATGCATAGAAATAAACGGAGAAAAGTTAGACCTTGTTAATAAAGCAGTCTTCTTGGGAGTGACCTTAGATAGTAAACTTCAATGGTTTCCACATATATCGTCTCTGGCCAGCAGATTAAGCTCCGCTGCATACGCAGTCCGCAGAATACGTGAGCTTACCGATGTTAGTACTGCTAGACTAGTTTACTTTAGTTACTTCCATAGTATAATGTCCTACGGGATTCTCATGTGGGGTAAAGCGGCAGATATTCAAACCATATTTGTATTGCAAAAACGAGCGATTCGTTCTGTGTACCGTCTAAGTTCTCGGGTATCTCTCAGAGAAAAGTTTAAGGAGACTGGTATCATGACTGTGGCATCACAGTACATTTACTCAAATATTTTATATGCCCGTAAACATATACATAATTTCAATAAGAAAGAAGATATCCATAATATTAACCTTAGAGCTAAGTCCAAACTCATGGTACCACGATTTCGTTTAACCAAGGTAAACAACTCTTTTATGGGGAACTGTATACGTTTTTACAATAAGATTCCGGAGCATATATTAAGTTTATCAATTCCTAAGTTTAAAAACTACATTAAACATATTTTGATCGAAAAATCATATTACAAAGTTGAAGACTACGTGTTAGGTAAAGATGTATGGAAAGACGACATGGCTCCAGAATCCACACAAATTTGATTCAAAGTGTATTCCATAGCATTTCAGTTTATTTGAAAAGAGCAATCCCTAGAGTTTCTTCTCAGTGAGGTCAGCGTAGTGAACGAACAGTAGCTTAACTGTGACGTTTTCAAGTGTAAATTTATTTTACCTATGGAATAAATAATCTTTGACTTTGACTTTTTTTTTTGTGCTTATCGACTCTGTTTCATCTCATTAAGGATCATTTCATTGTAGGGGATGAAAAAAATCGGGACAACAGAAGTTTATTAAATTTAATCAAATGTTTTTCATGCAAAATGAATAAAATTTAGAATTTTTTTTTAATGCTGCTATCAGCATACAAGGAAATTATCCTTATTAGAAACTGTGTCTATGTACTGTTTCTAATAAGGATGATTTCCTTGTATGCGACGAAAATAATTGGGGCAGCAGAAGTTACTCAAATTTAATAATGGTTTCTAAAATGGTTTTTTTTTAAATTAATTATTTCTTTAATGCTGATAGATTCAGTTTCTTATAAGAATGATTTTATTGTATTGGAAGAAAAGAATCGGGATTGCAGAAGTTGGTCAAATTATTCATTTCGTATGAAAAAATCGTTTTATTAAAAAAGTCCAACTTCTGCTGTCCCAATTCTTTCTTACAATACAATAAAATGATCCTTACATAAAGTAATCAGCCTTGAAAAAAAAATTAGTCTATTTTATTATTCATTTTGTATAGAAAATATTTGATTAAAATTTACCGACTTCAACTGTCCCGATTTTTTCGTCCCATACAATAAAATGATCCTTACATAAAACAGTCGATCAGCACTAAAAAAATTTGCTCAATTTTATTCATTTTTATGGACAACTCACGCTTGACCAAAAAATTGACTATGTATAAATTGTTTGCACAACACAGTTTTTCTAACACAGTTTCCTTGTATTTTCTGTGGTTTCGTATTTCCCCATACTGTCTCATTAAAAAAAACACTATAAAGTTTGATTTAAAAACATTATGATCATAGTCATTTAAATGTTAGCAGAACGTTTAACATAGAGGTTTTTCAGTGTTTATAGTGTACTAAAGTCCATAAGTCCAATATTTTTAGTTTATAAGGGCCCAGGAAATAACTATCTTGAAGGACTAAGAAACAGGAGATTTTGACACACAAGCAAAAGTATAAACTAAAACTGTCACTGCACACAAATGCCTTGGCAACATTCTTGGTTGAAAAATATTGTTTGAGCTTGACCTGTTTGAAAAAGTCTAGGGTAGGTATTGGATTGGTAGAACACAATCTGCTGAGTAATGAAATGACAGAGGAAGAAAAGCATCACGGGACTCCTAACTAAAAAAAAAAAACTTTAAGATGGATATGTTTATGTTTCAATGAATGATTAATTAATGATCATAGATCGAGTTAAGATAAAAATTATGTATTTTATAATGTATAAATAAATCCATTTTCAGCGATGAAATAGTAGAGTGGTGCGTCGTGATGATCAAGTTCAGCATGGCTTATGGTCTAGACATCCTCGCAAAATATCCATGGATCTGGCAAATCGGCGTCGTGGGATTCGGTCTAGTAGCCATAACAGCTCTCATAGCATTGGTAAAAGCGAGAGCACGACCCACAAGGGAAACGAAAAAAGACAAGAAGAGCAAGTAACTTGATGCATCGCTTGGGCTTGCTTCTAATATCGCCCTTATGACGCTAATGGACGTGATTTACAATTTTGATTTAGCGTATTTACATCGCAATATAGATTCTACATGGAAGAAATAAGTTTTTACCGCTGTTGTAAATTAGGTTAATTCGTGTTAGAGGGGATAATAATGAGTAGGTTTCATTTATTAACATATACAAACAAAACAAAACATTTTTAAACATGTGACAATGTTATGCATTATTTTATTTCAACATGTCATCATATATGGAGCAAACAAAAAAGCTACTTAATGTAGTTTTTAGGCTGTTTATATAAAACTTCCTATACAAGTGATTTAAATATTAGCAAAGTCTATAGTATCTACGTTTACCAATGCATTTATTATTTTAATACTTTTGTATCTTTATTTTATTTATCGTAATGATAGTGATGTCATTATGTGGGAATTAAGATTATTGAGTGAATTTTTAGAGGGGACTATTTTTTAAATTATTAAAAGAAATGGTATAAGTGTCCGTCCTTAAACAATAGTTAAAATTATTAATTATTATTATACTAACATTACAAAACGGGGATAAATTCGATGAAAAATTTTATAGGTATTATTTGCATTCATATTTAAAGCCGGGTTTTCACTATATGAGTACGCTCGGACCGAGTGCGCTAGCTACATCGATAGATAAGAGTCTACTCGGATTTTGATTTACATCTTACGAATTCATCAGCGTTCAAGTAGCATTTATCTCCTTGCATAATCAAGATGATGACGTTGATCTGCCGCAGCGAGGTATATGAGTTGTAGCAGCTATATTAAATGCTGAAATACAAAATCATGGAAGGGAAAAAACAAAGCAAGAGAAAAATTTAAGCCAGAAAATGCTTTTTTAAGATGTGACCAACTGAGTGCTTCAAATAATTTTATTCGAGAAGTGCAAGAGAAAGATAAAAATACGTTTGAAACCTGAAATTATCACGTTAAGTCCACTTTTTCTTAGTAGGCACCGTTTTGGCTTTTTTTTTATAATACCAAGTGACGGGATGAACAAGTCGTGCACCTGGTGGTAAGCGAAATGCCTATCCATAACAGTTGCAGTGCCACTCAGAGCTTTAAATCACAAAGATATTAGGGGCACCGCTACCGCGCCCGTCACCCTGAGACATAAGTTGACAAGTCCCATGTGCCTGTAATTTCACCTGCAGTAATGCTCACATTGCTGCATGGCGGCAGAAATAGATAATGTGGGACTATTATCCTGGATGAACTCTGTCACAAAGAGCTCTACTGCTTCCTAATATTTTAGTTAGTTTTCATAACATAATCCGAGTATACTCGTAAGAATAGAACCGCGTCCAAGTTCACTCTGATCATGTGTTTACACGCTCCGAGTAGCGTCCGAGTAGTCATCCGAGTGTACTCGTATAGTGAAAACCCGACTTTATTATCATTTATTTCCGTTTTGTAAACTTAAATGTCCTCGTAGTGAAATGCTACGTTATAGTTTTAAATCGTTAAGTTATTTTCAAAGTATGTAAAAAAATGAAAAATAGATGTGGTATCATAAATAACATGTATTTTTATGGAATGATTAATAAAAATATCGTTTTATTACCATCGCCTGATTTCTATTAACAATTATACTTCTAAACTTATTCGGTATTAATCGCAACTCCACCATAGTTTCCATTTATTTTTATCGTTGATAAATTACCGTATAAAGTATGAACGTACTGTACACAGATAAAAAACTAAGATAATTAACCACTGACGATTACATTTTAATGTCATCGTAAAGCAGTTACAGAATACTTATTTGTTAAATGCGTTCAGTATTACCTACTTAATATAGATATTACTGTTATCTACATGTAATACCTACTCTTTTTAAAAGTAATATCAGCTCCAGGACAGAACTTAAAGAAGAGTCTTATTGGAAGTGGCATAGAGTTCAACTTAAGTATTAAATATTAATGTGACGTGCCTGTCGTCCGTACAAAATTTATTGTTCTTCACCGTGGTTGTACTGTAATATTTACTTCGAATCAATGTTAAAGGTACTCCACCCTTGATTGTCTATACTATCAGAGAGGAAGGATCAGTAATGTGGTGTCGCAGCGTACTCTTTGAAGGTGTTACGGAGAACTTGCTAAGTAGGGCTGCCAGACCAGCCATTGACTGCATAAGTCCGAGGCGTTCACCTGTGATCACGGGAAATGCATAGCTCAATAAAAAAAAATATAAATAAGTATCCGCCATATTGATTTAACGTCTATCTTGATAATGTAAAATTTCTGAGTAGTTTATTGGTGTGCTCCTTAGAGGATGGAAAAAAATAAAGGAAAGGAGCTGCCTTATCTACGGAATAAACGTCCCTACCTAAACCAAAAATGTCCACCACAAATGACGGACTTAGTGTTGTACCATAATCATAGATAAGTCAATATCGACATGCAAATGTATGGCTTGAATGTTGAAACTGTTGTTGATGTGTTTTATGTTTGCAAATTTGTGCAGTTTACTGTAATCGAAGTATGATTAATACTAGGCTATTATTACTAGGCAAGTAATGTGCCATTTTAATCAAAATTAAATGTAAAGTTATTTACCAATAAATGTAACGCTGGAAATGCATTGTCATGTCATATATATACATACATACATTACATTCAAAGTTCTATTTAAATTTGAATGGAGCGAACAAACGAAGATGGTATTTGGTCCAATGTTTATGTTCGGCAGTCCCATAATTTCCAACCATTCTTTCTTTCTTTTTTCATTTGTAGGTAAACTTTAAAAATCGAACTCGTAATGAATTGTTTTAATAACAGAATATCGATAATATGTCTGCTTACAAGAACAACACTATCTCAAAATAATCGTTATCAACAATCATCAAAATATACTAACGAACAGGCAATCTAAAGTAACCAAAGCAAAATTCGGGCAATACTTATGAATAAACTACTTAAATGACTCTAATTACATGAGATATTTCGGCTATTGTATGATTTATAGGCGAAAGATAACACTAATAATAATAATAATAACATTCGGTTGATTTCCGCTTTTTCTACTGCCGCACCCCTTAATGTAGCAGCTACCCATTTTTATCAATACTTAATCTCACTGTCAATACTTTTGACCATTTCATTACAATTCATGCGAATAATTCACTAAAACATTTGGCCAAACATTGGTTTTAACATTTGATGTACTTCCCTTTGACAACCGGATACGGATTGCAGTTATTTCCTACCTACTTTCTTATTAAACTTCTCCCTGTTGCTGTGTAATCGTTACAAGCTTTGAGTTTGCAAATATGTACATATGTCTAAGAATGCTCAATCTTACCGATACAAGATCTCGGTCCTTCTCCAAATGGTAAATATGTGTACTTCTTGATGTTGCCGACTTTATCTGGATGGAATCTTTCTGGTTTGAATTTCTCTGGTTCAGGAAAGTACTGCTCATCATTATGCAAAGCATGAACTGGTATGATCATTAATACATCTTCGTCTATTGTGATGTTAGTAGCTGGAATGGTATTTTTTTTGCGCTTTTTCTGCTTATAAAACCTAGAGGAGGATACATTCGCATGCTTACCCTGAAATTAAAGTTTTTCAATACAGAGTCGACAATAATGGAATTACAAATATAATATATCAAGGACACATATCAATTACTGTTTGAATAATATGTTTCATCCATAATTTATTGCAAATCATCATATTGTGTTCTTATTGCGCGTACTTGATCAAATACACGCATATTTAGTATATAAGTACCCAGGGTGCACTGCATTTAGGCTCAATCAATATTGCGGCGGAACGGAATGGACGCGAATTTTTGCAACGATATTGTACATACATAGCATAATGAACTTGTGTCCGTCAGGATGGCTGGACCAAACGAAATATACAAATCAAACTGTGCTCATTATTTACTACCTATTTTCTACTATAAATAGTAGTACCTTTATTGACATATTATTTTCTACCTTGGCCCTAGCGGAAATATAAAGGAAATAAAGTGGCCAGCCATTCTGACATCAGGTTGGCTGACTACTTTACGTTTTTCATAGTTCTAGCAGTATATATATTTTTTTTATATAACTATTTACTACCCAATTTCTACCTAAACATACTTTTTTTTCACTATTTTAGGAAGCTTCTATAAGTTATTAAAAAATAAATAAAACGCCTTTGCAAAAGTTATCTTCTAAGACAGATTAATTACACGGAGAACATAAACTGTCTTTTTAGAAGATAACCTTTGCAAAGACGTTTTATTATTTTTTAACATTGTTCTGATATTCTTACCTGAATGCCATTTCTAAGTATTTCATGTCCTTAACAGCTTCATAGCAGAGTTTGCCATTATAGCTGCTCAATACTTCATCAATTTCATGTTGACATTTCTTCTGTGCATCCGGATGGAAAGCCAGCTGTCGTCGACGAGGATGCCTCGAAACCAGCCGCAAAAAATATGAACACTTGAGCCATTATTATATCATTTAATTCTAATTCCACTATTTGCGGAGTTCCATCTGGGTTTTTCTTTTCTATAGACTCACCAATCATTTTGCCTTTCTCTTTAAGTTCCAAAAGCAGATCTATAAAATCGTTTCGTCCTGTCACCTTGTAATTCCTTTGCATCATAATACTTTTAACTAAAGAAATTGTATTGTGTTCAATTTCTGGTGCGAAGAAATGAACGTGTTTAAAAACTTTCGGCGCAAGTCGCTTCATCATATTTACAAAGCCGTCTCTTATGGTGACTGTGAAAATACGCTTGCCTAGTTTACGGAAGGCGGTATGCTCGTCATTCAATGCGTCTGCTTCTATACCGAAGCCACATGCTCCAATGAAATACGTCGTGTATCTAGCCATGAGTTCTCGAATGTCCACCTCTTTACCAGTTTCCGCGGCTGTCGCAGCTATAATTTGTAATTTCTCGGCTCTTTCCACTATGAGAGCTTAGGAAACATAGATTTAAGTTTTCCACTTGTAAATGCCGAGGTCATTCTTTGTCTTACTAATTTCCAAATATAGTGAAAAGGTTCATCATTAGCGGTTCCATCGCCTTTTTATAAATATTAACTCCCCTCGGATAGAAGTAATGGAAATCTGTTACTAGAGCACGCCTAATCAATTCTAGATCTCTTAAAACGAGTCATAAACTATTGCCGGCGTAGAAACCAACCATTTTTTCTTGTGGATACTTTCTGTATCTTGCCACAGCGAGATCACTTAAACTAATCTGCATGAGAAATTGTCGAAGACTGTTCCCGAAAATCGGTAGTGGCTTGTCATGTTTTACCCCTCTTTTCTTAATAACCCTTTATTGCACATAGAAAAGATACATGAAACACAAGTTATAAAGGACATATACAAAGGTGAGCTTATCTCTAGAAGAGATCTCTTCCAGCCAACCCCAGCCTAGGTGAAAAATGAAGTCTGCGGGACTA